CACATGAGACATATTGTCGATGAAATAACAATGGCCAACTTTCCAGTAAGTAATGGTGGAATAACATAGCACATTAATTTTCCTGCGCCAGTTGGTTGAAGTATAAGCTGTCTTTCCCTTTGATAGCGTTTTTAATTGCATTCATCTGCCATTTATGAATACTTGAGAGCATTAAATGTTTTGCTACTAGGCTTTGAATAACTAAATGATTGTGATCAAAACTTGGGTTGAGTTCTAAACAAAAGTTTCATTTTAAAAATCACAAAATTCAATAATTATAAATACCTTCAAAGCAGCTATCTATGGCTTTATTGTTAAAAGGTTTTATATTGTGGCCACTTCTGTTAACATTTTTATGTCTCAATGATGAACACTTCACACAATTTGGCAGTTTATGGTCTTCACAATTGTCACTGCAGTTGTCAAATTCTTCCTAGCATTTATTAAGGATGTATCTTGAATAGAAAAAGATGGTAAAGTATCAACATCTCCAATAGTTGTAGAATCATTCTCCCGTAGCAAAGACATATCTCCATGTTCCTTTTCTACCCACAAAACTATCCCTTCCTTTGACTATTGTAATGTCACTTCACACCATTTCATTATCTGTTTAGCACTTTTTTAAGACATGAGTGCCTTTTGTTTTAGTACAAATAATATACAATGCATGACATATATTAAAGTCTTTAAATTAACAAAAAGTAAAATTTAAAATCAGTTACTTATTTTTCAATGATAGTGATACTATAATTATGGTAGTACACATGTAGACCATAAAAAACGGAGTTATTTAGGTTCTTCACAAATTGAATGATAAATCATCTCAGTAATTTCAAAAGCATCATCATTCCATTAAAATTATCTTCAACACACACATCTCCCTCTATCAAATCAAACTTATCTTTATAGATATGGCCTTGGCAAATGTATAATTATGTGAATATCATGTATTTTGTTGTAGAAATAAATTCCCCCAAATTAAATAGGGGTAAAATAGTGCAGCTGTCACTAATTCTTACCTGTAATATTGTAGGGACAAAAAAGTGCAGCAAGCACTGATTCTTCCCTAAAGTACTATAAGGACAAATTAGTGCCTGCTGCACTATTTTGCCCCCCTATACTTTAATTGTGACAAAAAATTGCACAACGCACTAATTCTATATTTTAGGACAAAATAGTGCAGAAAGCACTGATTCTTCCCTATAGTATTGTAGGGACAAAATAGTGCAGCAGGCAGCCAGGCACTAATTCTTCCATATAGTATTTTGGGGACAAAATAGTGCTTGGCACTAATTTCTTCCTATATAAATAGGTCAAATTGTATAATGTGTATAATGTGCCTAGTCACACCATTATGTAGGAAAGAAATAGCACTATTTTTTACCCTCTATAATCATGGATTTCTTTTATTTAATGATATCTTATATAAGCACCCTGTTTGTTATGCAAAGGTCTCTAGTGCAATCTGTAATGCTTTATTTTTAGCCAAGAGTGTTGCAGTTGTTGAGAAACTTATCTTTGCTATTTTATTATTTCTTTCCTTTGTTAGAGAAGAGAAAAGAAATTAAAAGATTGTGATTCCTGTGTCACTGTTTCTAGAGTCGATGTACCATTGCCTGTTGTGCATGTAAGTTCTTCTTCAATAATTTTTAGTGAGTTCCTATTTAAAATTCATTTAAAGTACATTAATTAAGCAGAAATTGCATGCATTTTGACTCAAAACTAGTTACTTCTGTTGTGCCTATTTGGGCAATCTCCTGCCTAATAGGTAATGTTTTAAGGAGTGTCTGACTTTTGATACCACCATGATTAAGTTTACTTTTGATACCACCATGATTAAGTTTACTTTTGATACCACCATGATTTTACCGCCATCATTTCAAAAATAGTGTTCAAATGCACTATTTCCTTCCTACATAATGGTCCTACTTTACTTTTAGAGATTTCCTACTTTTAGAGATTTTGAGTATTGTTAATAAAATTTTTCTTGAAGTGTGCAAAAAAACTTCAAAAGTGATTGATCCAGTGTAATTAAGAATCATCCAGTGTAAAAAAGAAGTACAATGTATTTGTACAAGGAGTGGACAGGGTTTTGTCCTTCTAATGGCTGGCTATTTATATTTGTAGATTAATTTTGGAATGAATATTAGGATGTAAAAATGGCTACATAGTGATAATCACCATAGTTTTAAAGAACTACTGTAATGTGATCTTTTCAGACCTGGGGTCAATTACAATTGTAATTATTTTAATGGTCAATTACAATTACAATTGTGTAATTGTAATTGAGCTTCAGCTTACGTAATTGAAGTTTCAGTTATATTTGATTTAACTAACTACAGAATGTACAGA